CTTCACACTCCTGTCGCAGAGGACAGTACGACTTCACCCCCAGACCGCCCCGTACCACGATTGCTCGTAGTGCGGGGTCTCGCTGCTCTCGGTCTGGCTGCTCCTTTTTGGCCTTCCTGACATTGTTGAACCTTGTGGAACGAAGTTCCAGCTAGTGCAGCCCGCGGGATCATTGCAGCACTCAAGCCCGACCACCACGTCAAGGTGGCAGCTTTAGGTCGGGACGTGTGTCTGAACCTTTCACGAAATAACCAGTCGATTTGTGTGAATTTTGGAAGTAGATTTTTATTCAAAAACTGAACTACCGACTACCGACAACACTAATGAAATCACAGTACTGTAAACATACTGAACTGAAACACATTTAATGCGAATCCGGACGAGTGTGATCTAAGCGTACATGGATGTAAAACAGATATTTCATTTATGGGGAGTGATTTCAGATGGCTTTATGATGGACAAACATATTTACGGTCGAACCAGGTGAGATGGTTCTGAGATTCATTAATGCAGGTGAATGAACATGGGTTCATCCGAGAAAACACAACCGACGTTCTCTTAAACGAGAATTAAAATACGTTGTACAGCTGAAGTGGTTAGAATACAACAAGGCCGTCTCGGCATATCGTATGAGCAATATCGTATGATCACGGAGATATCGAGAGCAAAGACCTGAGTGGCACAGAATCTGGCGAACCGACCAAATGCGTTGGAATTCTCATAGATCTAAATCTGCTTATTTACACAGTGCGACACAAAAGCTGCTTGGATTGGTTTCAATTCCGACCGTGCTGTACCGCTGTTTCCGGGTTGATCTTGTGATGGTTATCTGGGTAACAGGCCTAACAAGTGTCAGCAACCGCCTTCCGACCAAGTGGTTTTTCTGTTTTCGCACAGTAAACACTGTCTATTTCCCTTTACGGAGGCCCTTAAAAGGTGCGATTGTTTCCAGTAAAGTTCAGAAAGAAATCGTTGCTTCTTTTGTTGAGTTTTCAGAGATTGTTGATCCTAGTTATTGGCCCTGATAATAATTAAGCCACGGGGGCTGAGTGTGGATGCGTCATTAGGAAAGCCGTGATCGGATCTTATGAACATCAGCGGAGCGAAAGGCGTTTTTGGGGCTGCACTAATCAAAACCGCCAAGCAACACAGAAAACCAGTTTTCTGGTTCCACGAACCACAAGGATAAATTGAAACAACCAGCTTTAATTCCAATTAACAAAGTAAGTGACATTCACTCCTTCCTCTTCAATGAATACGTTGGGACAGCTAAGGCCTCCGAATTTCCACTTATTTGCCATAAAAACTGCACCCTCTAAATATGAAAGGGTATTGATGTTGGTTACGCGGTATAATGTCGCACCGCTGTATGCGGGTTTATTTCTGACCAAATGACTGAATCCTCTAGATCAATTTGGAACGCCCTTCAAAGCGAGAAATGCGTACCACACTCGAACAACAGAACGAGACCAGAAAGATTACTTGATATCAAGCAGGCAGCCCACCCGGGTTGTTTACATTTTATAATATTTCGATCATATGATGCGTTAGGTGGCCAAAAAAGACAGGAAACTACAGGTGAACCCAGTCAATACGAACGAAGCCGAGAAGTACTGCTCTTCTTTTCCATCCTTATTGGCAATTCTCAGCTGCGGGCATATCACAAAGCTCCAGAGGGATTCGAACCCAAAACTTACTGGATGTTAGTTGAAGACTAAATCATCTGTTCAAGATAAACCATCCACCCAGGGTGGTTTAACTACCATAATTATCAACATTACCGCCAGTGTCACGGTCATCATCATCATCATCATCATTCTACAACATTTTTGTTCACCGATGATTTGAGCAGATGGTGTAGACAGCTGCGCATTGAAGGCGGTAGCTTATCATTGGGGCAGTTCAGGAAGGAGGCACCAGGGCTGGGATGTTGCCAAGTTGCTCAAGTCTAGATAGGAGCAGTCTAGATTTGGATTCGAACCATGGGCCTGCCGGTCCGTAAGCTGGCGCCCTAACCGCTATCTTGAGCTCTTTTCATCGGGAGGGTAAGCTATGAATTGAAGGAAACAGCTTTAATGAAGGCTCGCCATTGAGCGTGCGACTTAGTTACGTCTGACAACGTCTTTAACCAATGATGTGCCCCGTCCCGGGTTCCCAATCCAAGGAAACGGCAATACCAGCGCAGTTGAATTTGATGGAAATTGCTTCTAGGTCACTGTTTGACCTCCCCCGGTTCGATTCCACTCTGTGCATGAGTGTACATTAAGGGCTTTCGAAAGAAGTCGGTCAACTGGTATGCAGGGCAGTGACCAAGCTCGCGCAACTTATGAAGTGTGATCGGTTCATTTGTTGTTGGCGAGTTATTTCTTTCAAATTCTACTGATCTGTTCTTCCTACAGGGTTTTAGCAGTGCTTCGAAAACATCCATGATCAAGCATCAAAAGTTTTTTGACGTCTTCTGTGAGCAGGGGCCCAGGTTCTGACCCTTATAATAATATGTAGCACTCCGCAGCTTTGTAAACTTTACCCCTGACAGATAAGCAGATGTTACGCCACAGGTGATACAATTCAAGGAAGCTGCTCAGACCTTCCGGATGGAAATATCGTCTTTGAATAAACCACCGGGAATGATACAGCTTCCCAGATAGAAAAATTTGTCTGCTACCTCATTCGGCTCGTCCGCAAGTAGGAGGTTGGGGTTCGATACCACCAAGACTTGCAGTAGCACTCCTTACAAGGTGTGCAGCCCACGACAAACTGTGGGGCGGAATAATTTTGATAATTTAATGCTGCCTGCATTACAATGGCGGCAGATCCAAGAAGACCTATGTCGTCCGCGTGTTGGGCATCTGTGAGCGAATGCCCAGGGAGCATTTTTGACTCCACAGGCAGTATAGACTGGAATTGAGTCCACCATGATTACATCAGGGACACAGTTGAATGGAAAAGGTGAATGAAACGATGTCTCACATCACTTCCTGTGTTAAAGTCAGACGGGAGATTCCCATAGACCTTCACACGTCCAGGGAAGTTGTCAGGAATTCATGGAGGACATCACTCCATTGACATCTTCATAGGGCCTGACGGTTCACAGACTCAAAGGCAGCTTTCAGGTTGAGGAAGACCACCATTGTTTGTTTCTGGAAGCAGTGTCGCTTTTCCGAAACCAGTCGGAGGGTGAAGATGCGATTGATGCATGTTCTTGCAGGATGGAACCCAGCTTGGTTCTCACGGATCTGTCTATTCCTGTGTTCAACCAGTCGGAGGGTGAAGATGCGATTGATGCATGTTCCTTGCAGGATGAAACCAAGCTGGTTCTCACGGATCTGTCTATTCCTGTGTTCTGTCAACCACGAATGATATGACAAAAGAGCATCTACGATCTCATAGCTACCAGGCTGATGTCACGGCGATTTTTACACGAAATCCGCGTACAGTTTTTGAAGATAGGCATGACCGTCAATGTACCCTACTTTGCAGACGTTCTCTCTTCACTCCATACGGCAGCTATGAGTTTTGTCAGATGGATCACCAAGGGGATTCTGCCGTTTTGAAAAGGGCTGGATATAGACCGCTTAGTGCTGGTGCCTCCTCATTTTTCAATACGGATATTTTGTAATTTAATTCCCCTTCTGGTGGGCGATTAAGGTGTACATACCATTGATCCGTACGAACTGTCATTGAAGACTGCATCGTAGGAGGCCACCTAAACTGTCCTTTGAAGTGTTCGGTCAATCTTCCCAGTCAAAGTGAATTAGTGTGCCACCTTTTCCTATTATCCTTTCACTGAGAGTAAACTTCTTTCGGCCAGTCGACCCTATTGAGTGGTTGTGTTCATTGTTGGCGAGCCTTTTTTCCAGAACTAAGGCACTGGAGCGGGAACAGCATTTAGATATAGCAAGGTCACTTGAAAATGTTGACTCTGCGCATCCAAGTATATAGCAGCAAAGCAAAATGCAGCTGTCAGACATGTCTGTGAACCCCGCTCGAGTGCACAAGGCCGCCCACATGATGATGAAAAACCAAACTAAGTATTACAGCCCACAGTAACCTGGAGTGGAATGATCAGTTGAAACACTTCGACTTGCCCGAAAGATCGTATCTAAAAAGTACAAATTGGATTTATGGGGCTGCTCCAATCCTTTGTTTGAAATTTCCGTGCCAACAGTGGCTCACGTGCATCTGCTTGGTTTACATTACACAGACAGACTGATACAAGCCATGATCTGCTGAGTTTTTCCGTTTGACAGATAGCAATAAAAGTGTCCCTCGCCTTTGATCCGCCTGCTTGCAGCTGATTCACTAGTGGGGTAAAGGAGGATAACCGCTTCCCGTTAAACCTGCACGGGCCTCCTAAATGTACTTTTTCTCTGCGCAGGTCAGCACTAAACTTTCACTCCCATTATGGATCAATATTTCCCGGTCAACGGTTCAATGAATTTTGCTATAAGGGATCAACACAATGCAGACTGAACGCTGAAGAAGTAAAATTGCGAACGTACCAACCAACGATAGCCCCACATAATTGGCTTTGCAGGGTTGCCATGATTGACTAGAAACTCGCGCAAGTTCGACAAAAAGACATATGTGTCATCGTCCGCTTTTAGGAAATAATCGTATTCATCGGCCATGCGATAAATTGCGCGAAGAATTTTCCGCATCTTCACCCACAAGTGTCCACGTACCTCCGGCTCAGTCATGTTGAGAACTGGAAATGCGGAAGAAACATGGCGTTGCCAAAACAATATTTGGGGTAGACAGACCATCTGAACAACGAAACGTACGTAAGCATATGGGACTTGCATGGCTTGCATGCCAACAATAGACCATTTTTGCCAGTCAAATAGAAACAAGGGCAGCATGAGTCTAAGCCGGCCGAAAAACTAGTCAAAGGTGAAACCATCAGTTTGGTGAATCCGAATCTGTTGAGCAGCCAAAATGATGTCTTATTATCAAATCGGCAACCTAGAAAAAAAGGTTATCTCAGAATGAACATTAATAGGAGAATAACCAATTCAAGCATTCCGGTCCACACAGTGCGTTGCAGGAGAGTGGTTGAATAAGGGCAACCACCGAGCTTCCGATAATAAGATGACGGTTACCTTGTGTAGATACATACGACACCTCTGACCATGTGCAAAACGATTAAAACTGCAAACAATAGTGCCTGTTAGAGATAGGCCGAAACTAAGAGAATCCAGGTGATATTGATGGCACACGAAAACGTCACTGTGCGTCCTGATCGGACAAAAATATGCTTGGGGAGTTCAATCTGAGTTTGATTTTGGGGACAAAATATTTATCGTTTAACCATTAGTAACTGGTGTGTCAAAGATGTTTCTAGATTGAATTCTGCAGATCGTTTTTCTCATGGTAGAGCATCATCTTTTAAGCTCAGCTCCTAAACGAACCGCTATCTCCAGTCATACTTTTGCTACCTGAGCAAGGCATTTCCAATCTCGTTTACACGACCATACACTGGCAGAATTGAGGAGTGTTTTCGACCTCGTCTGGCTGAACACACCGCAATCTAGATACAACAGCGTATGAATCAGTCAGGCCGAGAAAATCCAAGTCCAAATTCAAATCCGGGGACAAATGTACGATCGATAACTAGCTCAATGATAGCCCGTCGTCAACTTGGGAGTGGGAGTGTGTCGATCCGAAGCTGCGTTCTTTATCGTGTAAAGGACAACAAAAGTTAAGTTGATAGAGTTTTGCTCGATCCATCGCTATCAGGACATGGAAACCGGAACTGTGTGAGCAGAAGTACTCGTCGACACTCCTTTAGTGAGTGGAGTGTATTTTACGCCCCGAAAGTAAATAGTCTTGTGCCGTTGTATTTATTTGACACTGTTCTGTTGTACACATATCAAGCGATACCACAACTTGGTAGTAGTCTTTTGGAAACACGATGACTGGTAGTAGATTGATTTGACGTTGACTTTAGCAGTTATGCGAGAGATATTTGATCCACATAATCTTGTGAGGTTTGTGTTGCGTGAGAAAGACTGAATAATGGTTCATGAGTCACAGAAGTAGCTCGCTAAGCAGCGACAACCTCACCTTCAGCCGGTACCTGCTGTTCTTTGCTGTTGGCAGCATCGACTTTAAACACAGTCAAACAAGCGGTGACAAGACAGGTCAGGTGTATGTCTGAGGTGAAAAGAAAGATCCACAAATTGCACAAGGAACGACAAACTTGAGTCGCTGGCATCCGAGAGGATTTTCCTGCCAACAGCGATTGAGGCAGAGGACTGACGTACATGACTGGTAAACGACTAACGATTCATGCCATCTGGGCCTTGACGATCTCGAACTAGCTTGGTGCCACTCCTGTATGGGCGCATTGTCGTATTTATACAATCGGGTGTGATGTTGGAATTAACTCTTAGAAAGTGGATTGCATAACACCTCTTGATAGGAAGAGGAAGAACGAAGCAATTTCAGTGTAATGGCATTCTTTGTGCATTAGATAAGAATTTGGACACCTACAAGACTAGGACTACATAAACCATAGATGTTCGAAACAAGAACAAGTGCACTCGCATCTGAAGAAACATCACCTCACGCCTTCACACACTGGGAGGACACTGATGCATCCGGAATGAACCATCTTGGTTGATGCAAATTCAACTTAACCATGCGGCGTGTATTGAAATGTGATTTCCTCGATCTTGAATTGAAAAAAATCTACCAAACACTTTGCTTCAATGTATTCCGCTTTTGAAATAGCGCATTTCTACCGTGCATTTGCAACGACAGTGTGGACTTTCCAAAGCCTTATTCAAGTCAGTACAAAAATGCGTCTTGTCGACCCAGGTCACGAAGCTCAAACCTCTACAGTTGTTAACCACACCAGGAAGAGTAAGGGACACAAATGGGTCACTGACGTGGTGTAGATGATTTTGGCTTTTCTTCCAGTAGTTTTGACACAAAATGCAGCAAACAAGCTGCCGTGAAGTTATTTCGGGTCGATTTTCAAAGTTTTGCTCTGTAAGAAAAGTTGTTTTGTCTCTGTAATGTACTACTCATAAGGTTGCTGAAAATCCGTCGACAGCCCATGACCAGTTTCGCCCTTTTTGGGGCTCATCAGGTAGGCGCAGTCCCCGGGTTTCCGTCAACCTTATGTTTTGCTTGAAACCAAATTACACGAAATTCGCGAATATACACTCATTTGCAAACTAATTTGGTTTTTCGAGAGACCCACTTGGAGCCCACCTGAATCTCTCGTTTGTGGACTGTCGACGGATTTTCAGCAACCTTATGAGTAGTAAATTACAAAGATATACATGTATCGCGATATCTCGAATATCTTAGCTACTGAAACATGAGGCATCCTGGTGCAGCACATTCAGTGGACTGAGAAAATCACAAACGAGAGATTCATCTGGGTTCCGGGTGAGTCTCTCGCAAAACTAAATTAGTTTGCAAATGAGTGTATATTCGCGAAAAGTTGTTTTAGCTCTAGATGATTTCGGGATTTTTAGAATTCACGCTCACATCACCCTTGTCTGAACAGTTGTCCTCCTCTATTGGTACAAAACCAAAGGGGGGAAGTACTGGACTCGGGTTTTGCTCTTATTAGAGCTCATTAACAGTGTATACCATTGACCGTGCTGGGGTTTGAACTCCTTGGTTCATGGCCCCACTTTCGCCTTCTGCTTAAAGTGAGAACAGTTGGCATGGGATATCATACCTGGTCATTCAGTGAAATGGAATCCTGATTTTTTCCGCAAACAATGGGAAAAATTGTCTAAAATCCTTGTGATTATCATAATTCCGCAATAATCTCACTGTCCCTACAATTTTGCGCATATACTACCTGCCCAAAAGTTGTGATTAGTAGCACCTTCTTGAAAAAAAACGAGGAAATTTCAGTCTGGATCAGTTGATTTTTTACCAAACGTTTGGTGGGTAGTCTTGTGCCTTTCATAAAGGAAATTCTTATTAGCGTGTTGCTTGACATGATGGCTGTCTTAATCTATTCATGCCAAACAATATGCAGTTTGAAGTCGAAGACATTACAATCCGGTTCCGTAATGTGCATCAGACAGTCGACCTATCCCAATTAACTGCACACTAATACTATTCAGTAAAGACGTATGTACAGCCTATAAATGGTACACGATCAAAGAGATGAGATGAACGTTTGCGTCGAAACCTTGCAAGAAAGGATCACCTACCCTGCTTAAGCAGATTGACAATACCAGTCAAGATGGACTTTTCCACTGAGGACTGTGCAATTGCAGTGTGCAACTGGTACACATGTCTGATGAATCTGATCATTCCGCTGTATCACACTGCGGGGTAAGTCGCACTAACACGCTGACAAAAGGCCAGATTAGGCGGCATCAGCAGAAGTTCGGAGCAAACTGACTTGGACCGATCGATTGAACTATACATGAGAACAGCCCACTTTGATGTACCTGGATAACAGTAATCTAAAAATACGGGTTGCCTTACTTGGCACGGCAGATTTTGACAGGGATGTTCGGTTTCGGAACGGACCACATACTGTCTCAGTGGTGCTGTTCACCATGATGGGCTTGGCACTGGATACTGCGCGATTGTTGGTCTCAGACATTATCATCATCATCATCATCATCATCATCATCATCATCATCATCATCATCATCATCATCATCATCATCATCATCATCATCATCATCATC